AGACAATTGTATGTGCATTATCTATTGATCGGTGTGTAATTCACACACACATTTGTATAGCTATCTCTGTAAGCATGCTCACAAACATAATGCATGCCCTAGCCACTTACCCTGCCTTAACCATCATAACTAGATGCCAGACCCCACCCGTTACACTGACCTAAATATAACTAACACTAAAAAACAAGTCTTAACCATCCAACAGCTCTTTCAGAATGTGAAGAACGGCTGAAATGTCCTTATTTCTATGGGAATCAACTCAGACTAGACCACGCACTGCATAACAGAATACAGAACAGAAGAGTATGTGGGAGTTGGGCTGTGGTACTGGGATTAAAGGCTATTGATTATCTGTTGTTAAGCAGCATGGTAATAAGTCATGGCTGATACTCTTGCTGTATGTTTAATTACTTCTACAAACCAAGTTAAATGTCACATAGGCCCTGAGAGTCTGGAGCCATTTTTAGATTTGGTTTGCGGTTGTCTTGCAGCAATTTAGTGTAAAGCTGTGCAGGGATGTACACCAGGAAAGGTGTGATAGAAAATAGACTTAAACTCTTAACTGGTCAGAATATTTGTTGCCTTTGTGAGTAGAAAAAGAAAAAAAGAAAACCCGCAATGCACTTATGCTGTGGGTATCTTAAATATGCAAAGTGTGATGGGTTCATGTGCATGAAATCATTGCTATGCAGGAATAGTTATATGTTAATTGTTTTGTTTTGTGCAGGGACCTCCAGTTGGATGAATATGTGGATCTGTACTGGAGAGACTACCCTTCATTAATTAGTAGCTTCGCTGAGAGCTGCCTCATAGACCAGGGTAAGTTTCTTTGTTTCCACTTCCACCCCACCTTGTGTGTTCTTTACTCTCCTCTTTTTTGTACTTCTGTTCTCTCACCCGTCGTTTTCTCCCTCTGCCTCGCATGTCCCTCCTCAGCTCTGATTGGTCAGTTGCAGTGTCCCTCCTTCCTGAAGGCGGAACCTCCCTGTGTTTTCAGCTGGCTCAGTAGCTGTCTGAGAGGGGAGGAGATCCCACCTTTCCCTTACCTGCTCGGCATCTGTCAGAGGACCAGGCTGCTGGTTCTGGTACGACTGAACCTCCTCCTTTATAAGATAAAGTGCCTATATTGTCGTCACTTTGCTGCTGTTGGTTTTGTAGTGTATAGTCCTGACATTTAAGTGTTAGTTGTATTTTTCACTTTGAGCACTCTATAACCTCTAGAGTCCCTGCGTCCTCATATGAGGACCGCACAGCTTGGGTTTCCAAAGCTCAGGACTCTAGAGGTTAAATGTGTGATGTGCATCATGTGACCAAAACCAAGTTCATCAAATTCATACATCTGACAAAAATATTTACTCTTGACTTCTTTTCCAGGCTTTGGGGGCAAAATCAGCAAACTTACATTTGGTTAAATGCACACTAGAATATTTTGGGGGTTTTTTTGAGTTACTTCACAGAATATTTACCATCATAAATCACTGTAATTTCTACAGTACTACAGGAAATTCAACTTACATTCCACTTCATCAAAATCACAGAAACGTCCCTAAACAGGGGCCTCATGTAATTTATGTATTGTAAAAAATGTCACACATATCAGAAGGAGTGACGTATTGGAGCTACAACTGAAAAGTAAAATTTTCACAGTAGTGCAACTTGACTTTTGTATGAGCAGATTTAATTTGTCAAAAATTGTACAACATTTCGAGCTGTGTTTTGTACTTTGACAAGGTTCTTTCTGTCTTTATAAATTTGAGCTCCACCTGCACCCAGGCTTTCAGGTTTGTGTGTGTGACGATTAAGATTAAGATTTGATTAAGAGACAGTTAGATAATCTTTTTTGCGCCACATCTTTGATTGTTTTTCTGACACAAATAACAATTACATTATGGTGTGGATGGAGCTTTGTTAATGTGAATGTGCTGATGAATTTAACCTTCATGTATCAAGGAAGAAAGGGCCCTTGAAAATAAGTCTCATTTCCGGCTGCTGTTTGATTCTCTAGAGGGTGACAGAGGTGAAGATGACCTTTCCCCAGTTTGTGTCCCTCATGTTGGCATACTGTCAGTTTTTCTAAAAATAGTTAACAAGCGATGTTGCAAAAAGGTGTGAGTCGGAACCACATACAAGCAGTTTCAAATTAAGTGTGTCTGATTGAGCAGCTTCATCACACCATTCAGCTCTCTTTATTCCTGCAGAAAACGCAAGAATTGAACAATACCTTTTACTTGCAAAGTCCTGTGAACAGGCTAACAGTACAAAAAACTCCCACTATCATAAAATCTCAGCACAGTTCAGATATGTAGGGAGGGCTTGGTACTTCCGCTAACATCGTTGGGCTCAGAATAGTTTCTTTGCACATGAAAATGCCCCATCATGTCCTCACCGCTGGATATTCCCACACAGAGTTAGCTTGGGAAAAGGGTGGCCAGCTTTTTAGGATTAAAATTATTCAGTCTTTATCTTTATGAAACGTGCTTTAAATTAATCTAAGACGGGCTAACATGTCAAACCAGTCGGTAATATCTTTATGAAATTGGCTGACGTGCTAAATGTTATGCCAATAGCACCTAAAATTATTACCTTAAAAGTTTGAGTACCAGAGACAATTTAGTCTGTGTAGATGAAGTACATGAGCAGCTCTGGTTGCAGTTTGAAATATCTGTTCGTGTTTCTTTTTTTGCCTGTAGGTGGCGTAGGTTGCTCCCGCCTCAGGTCTGACCCAGCTGACACTACAGTCTGCAGTTGGCTATTTGTGGCTGCAGTAAACTGAGCCAAAATTTTGGTGCCTCATATCGGCCACACTGTGTTCTTGAAGGCAGAGTACTAGACAGATAGGCAACAGGAATACAAACAGACAGGCCCTCAGAGAGTCTCTTTACTTATTTCTCTGCATGCATGTATGTGAACATGTACTGTATATACATGCTTTGGTTATTCCAGGTTGTAGTCTTTGTTTTGACTCGCATACCATTTCTTCTTGTGCTATATTGGTTCGTATTGTAACCGATGTGGTGTCAGTCATGATCTGCATTAGTAAGCATAATGCTTTTAAGACAGAAATGTCTAATTCTAAATGCCTCCTGAGTTAAATAGTTTGTTCTCAGCCAGTGTCTTAAGCTCCTCTCTGTCTGCCAGGCTCTGTGTGATAAGTGTTCAACTTGCATCTAATCATTGAGGCAAGAGTGTTGATCACATTAAATCATTGTTGTTCACACAAGAGCTGCAACTATGGTGAAATATACTTTTCATATTTGTTTAGAAAATGAAAAGATCATTCAATGAAAATATTGATTTAGATCTTATTTGCTGTAAATAATAACTCCTTGCTGCTCCCCCCTGTCTTTGTTTCTGTTTCTTTCTCAGAGTTATGCTCTCTACATCATTGGAGATGAAAATGCTACTTCAACAGATGGCTCAAAGTATCTGGTCAAGTTCTCTGCAGGTCTGTCTGTGTAGTGTGTGTGTGTGTGCATTTTGTGGCTAAAGATCATTTGCTTTCCCTGAATTGCATCCTGGGGCTATGTGTTGAACCGTTTGACTGTGTGTGCACATCTGAAGACATATTGACAGCCAGCCCTTATTACTGGATAGTCCCATAGTTCCCTGCTTCAGGGCCAAGTAACACAGAAAGAAAGGTGAGTGACGCAGGATTGTGCATCATCTGATTTCTGCTATTTGTTTTGGCTTTAACAAAAGCCCTTATACACGCTCCGTGCAGGTATTTGATCAGTCCCTTTTTCACACACACAGAATTGAACACTGACTTTGTGGGTGGTGTGAGGGCATCCAGACTTCAAGTTAGCATGTTGGTGTCAAAACAAACCAAACAACAGATAACATTCCACAAAAACGCAGCCCTTCACTCACCAGTAACAAAATGTCAGCTGCTGTGTTTAACCCCTTAATTTTAGGGCCCATTCTTTTTAGTGACATTTTTTTTTAGCAGTAAATCAGTTTGAAAATATTGGAACACCATTGAGAGTTACTCAGTTTTATTCAGAAGTTGTGAACAACATCATTTAAAATCTCTCAAAGTATGGGAACAAATGAATGAACCTGTTGACATCTTTCCTCTGTACCTGCCTTTCTCATCCTTGTCTTTCTCAGGCCACAAGTCCTGTGCCAGTGAAGTACAGTACAGAAGGTAATTCAGCTTACAGCAGTGAGAGGAAAAGCTTTATGATTTCATTTTATTATTTCTGCAGCTAAAGGGATTTGTGTTAAAATTGTGTTTTTTGAAAATCATAGTAAAATGGCTAAAAATAGCATCAAGTTTTTTGTTCTGATTGGACATTTAAAAAAGAGCTTTACTGTAATAACTCTAACATCAGTATTGTTAAGCCACTGAGAGCTATTCGCAATAGAATTAAACAGGTATTTAACAAACACTAATGTTCTTCCTATTATATTCCATATTTATTCTATTTTCCCCTTTTGCTTAGATTAGATCAAATCATTTATCTTACTAATATTCATACGTATTTATTCTAGACAAAGCAGTGTGAAGGTCATGGTTTCCCGTGAGAGTCTGGCTGAGCAGCTGGTGGTCTGGCTCACCTCAGAAGGTAAGACAAACAAGTCTTTTTCAGCAGTGGAAAGTGTGCTCCAGTCATATCCTCTTTTTCAGCACCACACTGGTTTGGATTAATACAAATTTATACATTCACACCTGTCTGAATCCACAGCTTGTGAACTCATGCTCATACGGCCAGACATGTTTGAAGTGTTAGTAAAAAAAAATCACCAAAAAAAGAACTGCACACTGTCTAAAAAAACACATTTCAGAGAGGCTAGACAATCCTGTTTCAATCCTTTTTACCTGCTCATTGCATAAATTTAACTATTATACATAATTATAATTATGTGATAATTGGATAACAAAGAGAAGAAGATTTTCTAGGTTCTCTAACGTTTTTTGGATAGTGTACAGTTCTTTTTGGTGATTTTTTTACTATGTAGTTACATATAATGGCATCTAAATAAAGATCTAACAAAGATTTTGTTTACATCTGGATACTTGTTTATCATAAACTAAGAACAATAAAATCTATAAATGATTTTACGGTATATAACAGTGATTTGATCATGTGTGTAAAATGTGCAACATCAAACAGTGGTGTTAATGGCTTAAGCACTGCAGTTATCAAAAAATGCTGCATTTGGAGGAGCTTTTGAAACAGTACATCACCGTGTAGCTGTTTTGATGCATTTGTTTTTAAGCTCACAGGAGGCAGCCTCTAAATTAGGACACTGTAACCTGGTTAAAACAATCACTCATTTCACTGGTTTAGGTTTCACCCTGAAGGACTTGGAGTCAGTCCCCTTCGGTGTAGCTCTGCCCATCAGAGAGGCAATCCACCGCTGCCGGGAGCAGCCGTGTTCAGATTGGTCAGAGGAGGTCTGTCTGCTGATTGGGCGACAGGATCTGACCAGACAAGCCCACAAGATGACCCTGGCCAAGAACACAGCTGTGAGTATGAGTTTTAAAGCTCAGCGCTTTCTCAGCCCTAGTAAAGGGTTTCAGTCCAACCCCAAAATATGTCGGCACAAACAACGAATCCACATTCGACCAATCACTGCAATATTTGTAATGGGTTGTTGGACTTCAATGCCAGCCAAATTCATCTCAGATTTTTCAGTTACTTCCATTTTTTTCATGAAGTGATATATAGAAATTGCCTTTATTTACTTGATAACTAATTGGGCAATACCTGCAAGGGTGCCTTATAAGTTTGTAGAAAGAGGGTGTCCTTTTTAAAAATAAAACGGAATATTTTTAATAATAAAATATGAATCTTTTTTGTGAGACTGCTTTTTTCTCACCTTAAATAAATGGACATTGAGCTTTGGAATAAATCTTAAAACCAGTGAGGTTGTTGAAACAAAACACCAGTCAGTGAAGACTGACCAAACTTTATTGTGTTGGTGCAGGGCTTTAAATTGGATTATGCCAACAGTGTAAACTGTTAGAAAATATCATAGTGGCTGTATGTGAATATGTGTATCATTTGTGTTTGTGTCTAGTCTGTAGGTTCAGGTCTGTCCTTGGAACCTCCTGCAACCACAGAAGCAGATGAGGAGGAAGATGGGATGTCGGACATAATTCAAGAGGTAACGGACTCATTAAACACAGTTTCATGGACTATTGGTTTGTCACTACTAGAAAGCTAGGTGCTGTATCTCAAGGATACCTCAACTGGAGTCCCTGAGAGTGGAATTTGATATTTACCTCATGTCTCCCTTCTCCAGGTGACAGGACTGATATGGAATCAGGATCTGAGGGTGCAGGAGGTCAGGAGGCTCCTCCAGAGTTCCAGGCCGGTCCGAGTCAGTGTTATCCAGCTACCGGAGGTTTCTGACCATGAGTACATTGAAGAGAAAGAGAACAAGTGAGTATATTGTTTGTATGGTCCTGGGGCACAAATGCTCAGACAGCAGCACTGCAGTTTCATGGGACACTATATTTTCTGGTGCTGCTCTTCTCAATTGTTTATTTGAAACATTTTTTTTTTGGTACTATTTTAAATATCTGTCTCTCTCAAATATTTTTAATTTAGCTTTTTTTTACATTGTGTGTATCTGTTGTTTGTTTCAAACTCACTCTTCTCTTTGTTTAATGGTTTAACATTGACAAATCAGTGGATGCTTGCTGTAATGAAGGGTTTATATAAATTCCATGCAGTTTTTTTTGACAGTCTGTACTGTTTTTTTGTTGTTGTTGTTGTTTTCATCCCCTGCTCTTTCTAATTCTGATTATCTTATCCAGACTCCTGCAGTTGTGTCAGAGAACCATGGCTCTCCCTGTTGGCCGAGGCCTCTTTACTCTCTTCTCTTACCACCCTGTACCGACTGAACCTTTACATGTGCCCAAACTGAACCTGACAGGTAATGTGCTAATGCTCAGAATGAAAGGCAACAATCTTGCACACTATCATCACTTGTATTCACATTCTCAACATGCACATCCTCATTCTCAACATGCACATCCTCACCTGTGACTATGCAGTGGCCAGCATCATTAAATATATGAAATGTTTTGAAGAACATGCAGTTTCATTGCGAGCAATGCGTTTCACATTGCAGCTTCTTTGGGCTTGCTCATCAGCAAATGATATGAATATATTCAAAATAACATGAATAATGAGGTAAAGTCTACAAAGTAATGGCTCTGATGCCTGCATATACAGAAATATACAAAATCATTAATAAACAAGACACCCTGTGGAACACCTCAGTATTCACCCAAGCATTCTACATTTATGTTGTTTATATTGTGTATAGTTGTGTTTCTTATATCAGAAGAAACTTTGATTTTATTTATTTATTTTTTTATGTTGAGAACTTGTTCTGTATTTTTCTGTACATTTCAACTTTTTTACGGCAGGCCGTGCACCGCCTAGGAATGCTATGGTGGATCTGAACAGTGGGAACATTGATGTTCCTCCCAACATGACCAGCTGGCCCAGCTTCCACAACGGAGTAGCTGCTGGACTTAAAATAGCTCCTGCTTCACAGGTCGGTCAGAAACTCCCTCTGTTGTTTTGTACCTGCAAAGGAGCATGCCATTTTTTACTCTGCTACTTTGGTTGATTGTTCACTTGAATCTGCAGTCTACCCTGCTAAATTCTAAATAACATTTGCTGTGGATAGTTGCAGTACTCAAGGGAGACACCCTTAAAGTTTTGGTGACAGTTCCTTAAACATCAACATTATGCTGGAATGTTCAAAATTGTAATTAGCTTATGGACATGAAATACACATTGAGCATATTCATGCTTCCACAAGCTCATAGAACCTCTGGTCCCAGTTGTTCAAGAGTAAATTGTATACTTTGTTTTTCTTCTGCAGTAAACAAAGCTACATTCTACAATTAAATGTGGCTTTCATTTTGTTTATTAAGGTGGACTCAGCCTGGATTGCCTACAACAAACCAAAGAGCCCTGAGCTGGCCAATGAGTATGCAGGCTTCCTTATGGCCCTGGGCCTCAACGGACACCTCACCAAACTGGCCACGCTCAACATACATGACTACCTCACCAAGGTACACACAATGCACACAAAGGCGCATATGTTCCAGACAATACAGACAAGACAAGCATATACGTTTTATTTAGAACCCTACAAGCATACACAGGCATACCTTAATGCTCAGTTTACAGTAGGCGGTGTTCCAAATCACTGTTTTCTTACTGTGGCACAAAAATTACAAGAAAGGAAAACAAAAATTAACTTAAATATAGTTTACACAAAGTTACCTCCCAGCTACTCATTAACATGCGCACACACACGCATACACAATTTTTTCTGGATGACTGTAAATGAGAGACGTAAACTCACATCAGAGCCAGTCAACCAGTCAAAGCGAAACTCTGGCCTCCGAGAACTTAGAAATGAGATGAGCCTTTCCCACTTTCAGGTGAGAAAAATAACAGGATGCTGCAAACCAAAACTTACTTTTGCTCAATTAAAAAGTCAGTGTAAAGATGCGGTTAAACTAAAACAGCAATCCTTACACCAAATCCTTCAAAATGCACTTTGAAGCAGCGGTTCATGTAGATGAGGGAGCATTTCTTCATAAATGTGACATAAGAATGTTCTTATCTAGGTATTAACGTATCTGATATTAGGAGAAAATGAACTTCCTAAAGTGTTTGAATTAAGAAGTGGTCTTCCTGACATAAACACGTTTAGAAGCTGTTGGCTCAGAGCTTTGCTGTGTAAGACTAGACTCTGGAGTTAGCCATATTATTTTGTTAGTTAAATGCTAGTTCTGTATCCCTCAAATGTTTATTTGAAATGATATGATTTAAAGTAATTATACAGTCCAGCCAGAATCATCTAATTCTGCTGTAAAAATGAATATACAGAAAATACTATTCAAATTTTAGTCCAAGTTAAACAGCAGTAAACAATGCAGAGCTGCACAGAACAATGAGAGACAGCTGTGCAGACTGTAACTGACAGCCTTCCAAATCCATAAAAGTCATGGATGTGATGAACAGTCTGACAATGAGGCCTGTTTGTAGCTGGTGGTTTTCACTCAGTTTCTATTCTCGTTGTGTAAAAAAAAAAAAAATTACGACAACATACTGTGGATCAGTTTATGAGAACTGGGTAAGGTTGTGGTTTTAGAGAGAACGTGGAGGTGTGTGTCTGTGTCTCTTCTATCCCAGTGTGTGTACTGGTTTCTTACAGCCAGATAAAAAGAAGAGGTTAAATTGAATCAGTCTTTTAAAATCAATTTTTGGTTTAACTCCCTAGAGAAATGAAATTAACCCAGCAATTACACTGGGATGTTTTTCCCCAAAATTTTGATGATGTTGTTTGGTCTTTTATATGTTTGACTATTTCTTTATGCATTGTCAGGTTTAAACTTTACTCAGTGACTGTTGGTTCATATGAATTTTACACATGGACCCACACACACTGTTGTCTTCATGACTAAAATGGGCCATTTTTTGAAGAAAAGACTTTTCTTAAGAAAATAGTTCCTCCCATCTCAGCTTTCAAAATGTGTGCTAATTGTGATAAGAAATTATAAGTATTTGGTCATCTCTTTGACTTCACAATCCACTGGTATTGTGAAATTTACCAGCTCTCTGTTCCTGTCGCTCTGTCAGGGCCATGAGATGACCAGTATTGGGCTCCTGCTGGGTGTGTCTTCAGCCAAACTGGGCACCATGGACATGTCAATAACCCGTCTCCTCAGTATACACATCCCTGCCCTGCTTCCACCCACTTCTACTGAGCTGGATGTACCACACAATGTTCAGGTGAGAGCGAGCGTGCATATGTGGCTCACAAGATACTACTGTATCTGCTGCCTAGCCCTAGTGTACGGACAAAGATGAGAAAGAGAACTCCCATGTTGTCTACTCCAGCCTTTTGGACTTGTTTGCAGAGGCAAAATAAATTAAAGAACTTTGCATCTCAAACTGGATTCAAGGCTGTTGTAAACTCTGTAATGCTGATGGACTAATTTTAGCTCATTTTAGCTTCTTTAATACTGAGTTCCTTTGTTACTCTTTATTTTTAGTTTGTTTGAGCCTTCTTCCACCATCACCTGGTTTTTAGTATTGTTTTATTTGTGTGCTTGTATTGCTTGTCCTGTGTGAAACTTGTAATGCCACCATTCTGGAGAGGTCTCCTTTGAAAATAGATTTCTTATGTCAGTGGAAATAACCTAGTTAAATAAAGGTTGGTAATAAATGAATCAGTATGTCATCGAAGTTAGGAACTACAGTAAGTGATTAATCAGTACTTACTCAAATATCTCTGTGTACAGGTTATAATTATTAAGATCTGCAAAGTGTCACAAATATCAACAAGAACACATTAAGCAATAAGCATAACATTTTCTCTTTGTCTGTTCTGCAGGTTGCTGCTGTGATTGGCATTGGGCTGGTGTACCAGGGAACAGGACACAGACACAATGCTGAAGTCTTGCTCTCTGAGATAGGTGTGTGCAGGCAGGCAAAGACAGACAAGTAACACAAAGACACAATGAGACATTTTCAAACAAAACCTAGATTAACTACATGTTTAAAACAGGAGTACTCAAACTTTGTGTCATGTGCATCAGCATAAATAGACCTGCAATCAATTGATTTGTTCCTGAATCCTAATTGTCTCACATATGATGGTACTTTATTTCAGGCAGAAGTGGCTGACCCTCTGTTCAACAATGTTCTTTTATTCTTATGGATAGATAATGAAATTCTCTTTGTCTTTGTGCGTCTTTCAGGTCGACCCCCTGGTCCGGAGATGGAGTACTGTACAGACAGAGAGTCCTATTCACTCGCTGCTGGACTAGCCCTGGGTATGGTCTGTCTGGGGGTAAGTGACACACAAAAACACTCTGCTGGTCAAACAAATATTTGCTGAGAAATGGTGTTGTTTTGACCTGCTGAAAGTTCCAGGTGGATGGAGTTCATATCCGAATAAATTGAGTGGTCTTTGAGAAACTCCCGGCCACAGAAAGACACTAACCTGAACTATAAATATTGTTTTTTATATTATGATTATATATTGTGGCAGTTAGATCTTCTTTGATATTTTAGTAGACACACATTTTCTGCCTTTAAATGTCATTGTAGTTTTATTTTAACCATTGGCTTGATTATTTTCATTTGGCTGGTATGCTCACCAAGACAAAGACTGGTTCAGCACCTGTTTCTGCTAGAATGACCAGTAGTTGTCATTTGAGGTTGGATTTCTGATGAATATGAAATCTAAATGGGGGAAACGTCAGATGGGTGACAACATAAAGTCACCTGCTAACCTCATCTGTGAAGGTTTTGTCAGTTGTTGTACACTTAGTGAAACTTTGTGTTCACGTTCACTGAGAAAGAGGAAGCACATAAGTTCTAGCAGAAGTTGACAGTGACCTCTGTACTTTGGCCCCTCTAGCTTTCTTTGTTTCTTTCTGTGTCACTGGTGTAACATTATTCTTTATTATATCCTGTTTCTCTCTCCACATAAAATGTTACTTTTTCTATCTCTCTCCCATCTCGCCTCACCTCTGATCTCAAAACACCTTTGTTCACTGGTACCGCCATCTCTTTGTCATTTCCTCACCTTATTCTTTCCTCTTATTCATCGTCCCACTCTTGTCTAATCATTTTGTCTCTTGCCATGCTCCCTTATGTCTCCATTCTTCTCCATCACCCTCTCTCCTTCCCTTGCCTCTCCTCTCTTCCATCTCGCTCTCTGTAGCATGGCAGTAACCTGATTGGAATGACAGACCTGAATGTCCCTGAGCAGTTGTATCAGTACATGGTGGGGGGTCATCGCAGAGCTCAGGCCGGGGCCAACCGGGAGAGACACAAGTCCCCCAGCTACCAAATCAAGGTAGATTGACAAAACTCTCTCTTTTTTTTTCTCTCAAATGTAATAAGAGCCTGATAACACTGTCAACAGTCATAATGTTTATATACTGTATGTGAAGTCCACTTTGTATAGCCTGACTGATACATCATTATGTACATCAGTACTTGTGTTTCATACATATCTAAGATTTGTTTGTGGTACTTTAGGAATTTTGTTGCCACCTGGAACAAAGTTTCACTAATGATAAAATAAAGTACATAACAATAAGTAGCGTACTATGGTTAGCTAGCTAACTAACAGCTGAGCTTTCCTCAAACATTGTCATTGGTCATTCCAGGAAGGTGACACAATCAATGTGGATGTGACATGTCCAGGGGCCACCCTGGCCCTCGCCATGATCTACCTCAAGACTAACAACAGGTGAGAAAAGGCAAACAATTGTTAGACCCACCTATCTTTTTATTCATAGAACTAAAAAATAGATTTAAAATATCTGTGTCATCTCTATATGCTGATCCCTGGTTGCTACCAGCTACCTTTGTGCAGTAGCGCACTTTTATAAATCACTTGCAAGACACTGTTCAAATGATTCCCTTGCTCTAACAAATAATACTAAATAATAGCAACAACTATAAGTGTCATCTTCAGTAACTCTCTTCTCATATTTGTATCCCTTTTCACTTACAGTTGGCATGTATATATGTCATATGTGTGATTGTAACTGATTTATTTTCTTGTATTTCTCCTGTGCAAGGTTTGAACAAGCTATAGTAGTGGTCAAAAAGCGCCTGCATGCCACACATTTCCCTCCAACTAAAGGATTTGGCTGACTGCAGTGTCAGCAGTACCTCTATTCAACTATATATGAAGGAAGTCACTGTTTATTTAGTGTGGATAACCTGTGAATTAGATTCCGAGTCTGGTAATGCAACACAAAGCAGACATCTGGGTGTATATGTAACATGAGCTGCTGTTGCTCTGTTAGCCCTCACTAACTAATGAGAAAAATGCCCACAGATAAAATCCTTAGACAAATAGTTTTATGAGTCTCTTTTATATTTTAAAGAAATAAAATACTCTAAAAAATACTGACAACAAATAGGGCTGCATCTTTGCAGTGCCCTTAAAACAAACCCATGAACAATGCTGGAGAGATTAACAGCCACCGTTGAGCCTAATTGCTAACCCCTGGTCTGATCAGTGTGTACACAATGTGTACTGGTGAGGAAGTTTCACTGGTATAATTATGTGCTAATGCAAGGCAACAATTGATTTGATTTATTCATTCAAGCATGTAAAACAGTTGATATGTCAACAGATGTAATTTCACACATAACCAACAATAATAATCCAATATCAATTTGCTTATACCTAGTACATGCTTGAATGGAGTAGGAAGAAGTCAGACTTATCTAGTCCTACCCCATGACATCATCTTACAACATTTAAATCCTAAGCAATATCTCTACATAAATAATTATCCTCTACACCACACAAGTAATATACTACAGAATTATTACAGAGTGTTAACATTCTACATAATTACATTCATAGATAATTATCTTCTACGCCACACAAGTAATGTACTAAAGAATTATTACAGAGTGCTAACATTCTTACCCCACACCCACAATGTTCCATCTGATTAATCATTAAGCCTGTTCTTGCATATATCTTGATTGACACATACCTTTATATTTATGTTTAAACTCATCAATTCTATTACTATTTTTTATGTCCACACTTAAATTATTCCATAGTTTTACCCCACTTATGGAAATACAAAATCTTTTTTTGGTTGTACGTATAGCATGAATTTTTAAATTTAACTGACCCCTTAAATTGTATCCCCCTTCCCTTTCATTAAATAGTTTTTGAATTCCACCAGGTAATAAATTGCTCCTGGCTTTATACATAAACACTGCAGTCTTATATCCCACTAAATC